TAGTTTATGGAATTAGTTTATATTGTTAAGCTTCATTGCATGAGTATATTTTGAAAATGAGTGACGTTGGAAGCGAGTTTTTTGCAAATATGTATTAATGCAATAAAGAAACATTATAAACGAGTTTCATAGACTATTTTTTGTATAACTGCATTTTAAATTTACAAGAGAATCAAACTGAATTTTGCGAAACAACTTTCTTGTAACGTATTTGACATCTGTGCAAGAAAACGATAGTCGGCTGTTTCGTTATCCGCTACCTCCCCACGAATCTCTGGCTGCAGATTGTTGAATGTGTGATGACGCAATCATTCATCCCGTATTCGTCGTTGAAACGAAGCAATACTTGGGAATTTGCTGCTGGTCTGTATGTAGAGATGCTCTGGAACTCACAAGAGAGTAGCCATTTATATATATATATATATATATATATATATATATATATATATATATATATATATATATAATGTTCCGGAAAATCGATTTCGAGATTTAAACAAAAATACACGTTTTTGGCTCCCCTTATACCAAGTTTTTCTTCTTCTTCTTCAAACCTGATATTCCCGGATCGACCAGGCGATTTTGAAACCATTCTTTAAAATTTGGGATACTTTACATTTTATAATATTTTACTTTATACATAATTTATAACACATACTTTACATCTGGTACATTTTCAAAATTTTCTCAAAAGTGGCTCCAAATTCTTTCTTGTAAGAATATACTAAATCTCACAGAATGGCATAGGTCCGATTTTACTGTTACCTCTAAATTTTCAAGAATTGCAAAAGTTTGAATTTTTCGGCGCCTTCCTACAACTACAAAATTGAAGATAACATATATCAGTAGAGAGGATTACACGCACAAAATAAATTAAAGACCGCAGAGTACGGATGTCGGGAAATTTTCTTTCACAAATCGAACGATAACGGTAAGAAATAGATTACCTGCAATAACCTTTGAACCCTTTTCAAAAAGCGTTCAACAGTTTAGGAAATTAATTTATGGTATTACTAAGTAAATAAGAGACTTAACTAAGCATAGTAGGATATACAGCGATGCATAAGTGTCATATAGTGAAGTGTCGTGCAGTGTAGAGCTGAGAAATAACGGAATGATTTAAGGGCCATTAGTGAAGTGAAATGCAGTGACAGTGCAGTGTGGTCTTAATTATGGTGTGGTATAAACATTCAGTGCGGACTTACATTTTAGAAGTTTTCTTTTTCTTAATGTAACTTAATGTTTTATGAATTAGCCAGTTTTAATATTCATCATCATCATCATTATCATCACCCTTCTTCTTCTTATACTTCTTCTTTTTATTATTATTAATATTATTATTATTATTATTATCATTATTATTATAGTATAATTTTAACCTTTTTTATTGTTTGAATGTTTGAAAATTTATAACCAATAAGTATTCATTCAATATTAAATTTAATGTTGTAATTTTGTTAAAAGCATTTTATGAAAAATAATTTACCTTGTTAATCATTCATATTATCTTTGTGCTTATGTATATAGTTAACCTAAATGTAGCTTCACTACGCGCACGTTTTGTTGAACTCTCCTTTTGCTTGTAATGGTAAGAGTAGAGGTAAGGGCGAGTTGCTACTTTGTTAGCAATTCAGAAAAATCATACTTGCAATTCGTGTACCGATGCAAATAAGTTTTCTATAACTCAGAAACGAACATGACTATTTTTTCAAATATAGCTAATCTTGCGATTTTTTAAAGTTATTTTTGAAAATTATTTTTATTTGTTACACTTTTATTTACCTTTCAACTATTTATAATTAAAATGACGGGAAAGGATTCCGGAACGCAAGAAAACGTGCGCAGATAAACTTTCCCCCCCTATGTCACATAGTTTTTTACTGTTGTTTTCTTCTTTTGTTTCTTCACTGAATAAATGTAAATCTAAATCTAGTTGACTCGGGTTATAGTGAATCCTCGGTTATAGTGAATTTGAGACACTGGTCGTTTCACTTACATTACTAATAAACATAAGAAAACTAGTGTGAACCTGAGCCTCATCTAGAGTGAACGTAGGAAATACAACGTCCTGGAAATGAATTCCCTCCTGAATAAGAATTTATCGCTTCAGTGCCACAAATTCCAACATTAGGCAGTTCGACAAAATGCTGCCCTAAGGCCATAATAAAAATAGTGTCCCCTGAGGTAAAGATAGGGGAAAGGGAATGACTAAATGCCAAATTTTCGTGCAGTACTCCCTAAAACGGGCAGTAAAAATATCAAAACGTGCTATGAAGCCTAAAAACTGAAGTTAATCCACTTGTCAACGTATTTTATATTTTGAATGAGATATTTAAGGCGAATGAAATATTATAATTTTTGTGTTATTATTAAGTTTGTAAATATTGTTTAAACAAACCATATTTCACATTTTAAATATTACTCGCACACAAAATTAAATTAGCAAAAAACGCAAAATATCAATACAAAAATTGAAAAATGCAAATATACCTTCAGAAATAAAAAAAATTAAGTTACAGAAGAAATCTTAATTGTTTTTATTATAATTTACAATTAGCATATTTCCAAATTATTTTCTGGGAAATTATGATATATTCTGTCAGCTAATATATGTTTCAGACGGGAAAAAAATCGTTCTACATTTAATTTAAACTCGTCTGTGTACCGAGCTTCGCTCTTACGTCCTTGACCGCTGTTAAAAGCGGTCAAAAAACTGCGTTCATTCTCTCTTGAACCTCCCAGGGCAACGTCCGTACCGAGAAATTCGATGAATTTGAAACGCAGTGCCACTTATCGCAAAGTTTCGCGTCCGGAAGTAAGGTCAAATGTGACTCGCTCATGCTGTCCTGAGTTGGTAAGATCAGCGAAGGCTGACAAAACGGATATATGATCCCATTGGGAAGATAGATCCCAAACATTGCGTTTGTTGAGGGGCCGCAGACCTACCCCTGATGCAATAACTCAGAAATTTTAATTAGACAATAGGTATTATGAAAGGTACTCTCAGTTCACAGGGCAACAAATGCAGAATTGCTATATTAAACGGCACTCGGGTTTCACAGACCACCCGAATGCACTGCTGTGTTATATCATAAAACCTTTTTTTTTCTTAAATGAAACCTTTAAAGATAAATAAAAAAGAGTTGATAATATAAAAATTATATTTTATGCAATAAAACAATGGATCTTGCACACTCGTCCAATAAAATCCCAAAATGGGCTACTTTCAGGCAACATTACCTAAAACGTGCGATATCCTGCAGTAACACCCCAAACGTGCAATTTCGAGCAAAATGAAACACATACTACAATAACGTTCTTTCCATGATTAAAATATCTGTCAAGGTTTCATCCAGTTTCAAGTTTGCAAAGAAAAGATGCAGTAACACGGGAATCCGGTCTTTACTGAGGACCTTAAGCCACTCAGATTCACTACAGAATTGAAGGCCGTGTCCTGAGTGGGTTACAACTGGCGGCGGGGCCGCGCGATTGCTTGCTTCACACGCGCATTCATTAGTTAAACGCTGAAAGGCAGCGCAACATTGTACCATCTTCAAGGCGAAGTAACCAGCAGAGAAAGCTATCAATGAAAGATTTGAAATGTCATGATACTTTAGTAATGGCGACCAATTCACACACACAGACACATACATACAAAAAAATTAGAAAATTTCAGCTTTGTAAATAGGACCATTGTTGGCTAGAACAATTTACTTGCAGAGGTGCTAGTGACTCTTCCCTGAAACACGCGAGTTACGAGTTCGAGTCCTCAGTAGCGCGAGTGTAGAAGGTGATATTCCACATGTGAAAGCGCGTGGAGTTCTAAGTAGGCGCTAGGAAGCACGCGACTGCCACAGCCTGGCGATATCCGCCGTGCTGCGCGGAAACAGCGATCAGTTTTATTAGCCGCTTGCGCCATCCGGCTACCGAAAATATCTTGTATATTATCAGACGAGTAAAAGGGCCTTCAGAGATGAGACGTTATTACAACAGTGCAAGGGGCATTGAAGGGCGTCAAGACTGTATAACGATACTTAGATACGGAGTACAATATAGAATAAATTATGGAGACAACACGAACTGTGGAGTAGGATCTAGATAGATAAAAGTGTGTATATATATATATATATAT